CTTCAATGCCAGAGTTCCTGAGCCAACATGACTGGAGGAGGAATTCTGGGAGATGAAGTCCACAAGTCTTAAAGCTGTCAAGTGTGAACACCCCTGGGTTTTTTTTTCCCCTAAAGGGTTAGGGGCACAAGGGTCTTGTAACTTGACAGCTTTAAGACTTGTGTGCTTCAAATGCCAGAGTTTCTGTGCCAACATTTTGGTTGCTAAACAAGCCACTCCCACCCGGTCACATGGCCAGCAAGCCACTCCCACAAAGCAGGCCACACCTTCAGAAGGGTTCTAAAAATTTTTGAAACCCACCACTGTGCTACACATCTGTTCTTAAAGATAGTTCCAGTATACGACATAGCAGTGAAGAACGTATGAAGGCTTAAAGACTATTTTATGCTTAGTGTATCAATATTAGATCCAATATGTGCCCACAAAATGAACAGGAATACTTTGAGTGGCAGGTGGCATATGTACAAGTGGGATGTTTTAGATGGCATATTTCCCTCCTTATCACACATAGATATTGTAGTTTTAAATGTATATGAATGGCTCCTTAAAACTATACATGTCTAACCATTTATTCAGAAATAGATCCAGTGGCACTAATGAAGGAGTTGTAGACAAAGTACTTTAACGTAGCATCAACACTGCTTTTAAAGTTGGAATCGTTTTATGATTTAGATATTTTTTGGCATTCTTGCAAACATGTCTTTGAGTTCTAATGAATGATTCTAAAGGAGTTGAAAGGGCAACAATATTTTGATATTTGTACCATTTGATCTATATAGGTAGATAAAGTAGACGAGGTGTAAGGTACATCCATTACAATGACAGTCTTGGGTTTTGGAAGCAATCCATGATAAAATTTAGCTTTTTTCTGCCTTTTGGGCTACAAAGACTTCCTTTGGCCATACCTCTGCAAAAAGGGAAGTCGTGAATCATTTATTTTCATGAAGTCCTACATAAAATATGTTTATTTCAATCAGACCAGTTCTTATTAAACCTTCACCATCATTTTACTTGACCAGCCTACAAATGGTTTTTTTTTCAAATGATATACAGTATGTTCATATTTTGCCTCATGTACAAAACGTCTTGTGTCTTAGTCTCTAATCGGTATTTGACTGCAATGTTGGGACTACAACTACCAAAATTACCAACAAGAATCTTCTCCAGAACTTATAGCTGTCTTCTCTTCTCCAAAAGCCTGATTCTTTGGGGAATATTGGCCTTCTGCCATCATGTGAAATTTTGCAAAAGTTTGTAAACTTTTTTTGCTGGAGTGCTTTAAATCCCGTTTATTTCAGGGCAAAATGAAATACATCTTTGTTTCTTTTTTAGTGAATCAGTGTGTTTGAAAATCAAGTGGTTTATATGGATTATAATAGATTTCAGAAAGTTTTGAATTGGAAGGTCAACAAAACCACAATTTTAAAATAAATTTTGGCAACTTTCAGACCATAGACATGCCTAGATCTCCCTGCCATCATGCCTCTAAGATTCAGTAGCAAACTGTTGGTTACATTGTCACATTTTTCAGGGTTTCCTTTTTCTCAAAGGTTATTTCACAGGGGGCCCACCATACAAATAATTTAATGTTACTGTGGGGTGTTCACAGGGCTGCAGCAATCACCCCATGATAGACCAATCTTTTTTACCCACATAGAAAGCCTAGTGCAGTGATGGCCAACTTTGTTTGTCTTGGGTGCCAAAAGCACACACACACGCTATTTTGCTCGCTCGCATGCCGACCCTCAAAATTTAATGTCGCCCCACGTTGTGTCCCCTGCGCATGTGTATACTGCCCCGTGCATGTGTGCATGGCTTTCTTGGAGCCTGGGGAGGGCGAAAATGGCCTGCCCCACTCCCCCCGGAGGTCCTTCGGAGGCTGGAAACGGCCCATTTTCTGACTTATGGTGGGCCCAGTAGGTATGTTTTCTGCCGTCCCCAAGTTCCAGGGGCTTTCTAGGAGCTGGGGAGGGTGAAAAAACAGCCCAGCATGCAAACCGGAAATTTGGGAACAGACTTCCGGGTTGCCTGTTGAGTCATTTTTCTCCCTCTGGAGCTTTCAGAGCATGAAAAATGTCTGAAAACCAAGGCCGAAAATCAGCTGGCCAGCACGCGCATGCACGCTGGAGCTGACAGGACAATGCCTTGCATGCCCTCAGAAATGGCTCCCCGTGCCATAGGTTCACCATCATGGGCCTAGGGTTTAATTACAGAATTGTAGGCACTATCTTATATTTTATACCACGTGGACCAGCTGATTGTGGAAAGATTTGTCTCTAACCCATTTCTTTCTTTTTCTTTTTGTAACTGAGCGGGTGTATCGTTTTCCATTGGCTATTAAGAGTTTTGTTTTGCTTGTAGTTTTAATTCTATTTTATTACAGTTTGTGGTTATAATTTTTGTAAGCATACATTGAGATTGAGCAGTTTATATACCATGCCAGATGATAAATAAATTGCCTTTTATATTTCCTTCCATGATCTTAAAGTCTTTTTTTAAAGACTTTTTAAAAAGGGGGGTTTTAAAACTTTTTTTTAAAAGTACAAATATTGTTTTCCTCTTCCCTGGACAACGACGGAATTTTCCACAAAGCACTAGGATTCTGCTAAAGGTTGATGGTCTTCTAAGTTTAAAAAAAAAAGTTCTTTGGAAGACAGCCAATTATATCTCCTTAGAGTTTTCCCCCTTGATCAGAGGTTCCAGAATAGTTTTTTTTAAAAAAATAAGAAGTTACAAGAAGTTATACTGTCTGAAAAAGTTTGAAAACCCATAGCCATACTTCCTTCCCTCCTTAAAGGCTAAAACACAATGCTTCCCCCTCCCCATCTCTAGACTGCAAAATAGGTTGCTCTTTTTTTGCACAATCTCTAGTTTGCTTGTCCCTATCTAAAAGCATCTACTCATTAGTAGGCACTTATGAGATTGAAAATTTGGCCACTGATCTTAAACTGAACTAAAAATTTTCAAACAAATTGAGAAGCAATGCTGCCTTTGAAAATAATGTCAGGAAAGAACAATGCATACAGCAGCAGCCTTCTTCCAAGGTTTGGCTTAATGGATGTATTTCCTTTACATTTTTAAAGAAGTTGCCCTTTCAATGGTGTGATTTAAGTATCAGATTTCATCTGCTTGCTAATGAAAAACAGAGATGAAACAAGCCTGAAATATCAGTATTACTTCCTCAGAGACCAGTAAAACGGTTAAGAAAGGTGGCTGGCTCAGTGGCTAAAACGCTGAGCTTATCGATCAGAAAGGTCGGCAGTTCAGCAGTTCGGTTCGAATGCCTAGTGCTGTGTAACGGAGTGAGCTCCCCTTACTTGTTCTAGCTTCTGCCAATCTAGCAATTCGAAAGCATGTAAAAATGCAAGTAGAAAAATAGGAACCGCCTTTGGTTGGAAGGTAACAGCGTTCCGTGCGCCTTCGGCATTTAGTCATGCCGGCCACATGACCATGAGTCTTCTTTGGATAGAGCTGGCTCTTCAGCTTTGAAACAGACATAAGCACTGCCCCCTAGAGCCAGAAACGACTAGCACATATGTGCAAGGTGAACCTTTACCTTTACTTTTACCTTTTAGTCAGACTTTCAGTGGTGAAATAAAACAGTTACACTCTTAAACTACTTGTCTATTGCAGTTCTTGGAAGGGTTTCCATTTCTATCCTGCTTCTTTAAAAAATAATAAGATAGACATTGTTTTGAGGATCAGAGAGAACCAGTTTCACATCCCTACTCAGCTATAGAGCTCTCAGCCAAGCCACATTACAGGGATATGGCAACAAAGGTAAAACACGTATGCGTGGTGAGACC